AGAGAAAAGAAAGAATAGAGAAGAAAAGAAAGAAAGAAGAGAAAGAAAAAATAAAAAAAGGAAAAATAAATGAGAAATAGAAAACAGAAAACAGAAAACAGAAAAGAAAATATATCCCCTATGCATTTGTACATATGCATTATGCCATTTCTACTATCCTAAGTTAGTTTCCCTATTTGTGCTTACATATCGGTAAGTGAGTAACTAGAATCTTAGAGAAAGTAGAGAAGAATTGAGAAGTTTGATGTAAGGAAAGAAATCTAGAATACAAAGATTAGCATAGTGGATTTACTTACTGAGCAATTAATGCTCACTCTGTTTGATTTCACTGTTTTTGCAGGCAATAGATGAGATGCAGTCAGATGGAACGTCAAGTAGCGGAGGAGAATGACACTACTATCCAATTGTATTTTGAGTTTATGTATATGACTTTCTTACTTAATATAGAGAATTTGTATATGAAAGTAAAGTTAGTTTTGGGCCCACTATCTTATACTTATATATATATGTTTTCTATAACATATTTAGTGATTTCATATTATAATTTCCCAAAGTATACTAGCTAGAGAGAGTTATTACAGAAGTCATTTACACATTCACACCCAAACACACATCACTAGCAACTAATTCATTGTTAATATTGAAACAAGACAAAGAAGCAAAGAAATGAAGCTAAACCCAAATGAAAACAAGGTGAAAGAACCAAACTTCATTTGAAAAACAATCAATTCTTACAAGTAAAACAAAATTACAATAGTACCTAACTTTGAAAGAAAAGAGTTTGAAGAATGATGAACTAGCGAGTGGCTGAAGTCACAAACTCGAAGGCCAGAGCTTGTCTTATATTCAGGTGAGAATGAAGAAGATTGGAGAAGGATTTAAGGTGAGAACGAAGAATTGAAGAGAAAAGCTCAGCGAGATGTGGAGAACAAAAAGGGGAAAATAAGTTAGGGTAGAGAGAATGGAAAACGGGTTAACGAAAAATGGGTAGGAAACTTTTGCCTTAATGAAAAATGGGTGGGAAACTTTTGCCTTAGTGAAATAACGGGTAAGCAAATGTTTTAGGGTTTTTTTATTTTTGTTTTTTTTAACTTAATCATTGACAGTTAATAACTGTCAAGAATCATCCAAAATGTCAAGAATTTGTCAAGAATTAAATTTCTTGACAGTTTTGAGAATGATTAAGAAAATCTTTCAAATTATTCTATCAAGGATGAGGTTTTTTTTAGTAGTGAAAATTTGGTCCCACACCAAAACAAACTCTCAACACACTTCAATTTCTCAACAATAACACAATCAATACTCCACAACACACAAACTTAATCAACAATTCAATCACCACACTCCAAATCTCTCCACAAGCACACACAACACTTCAATTAGGGGTGGAAAAAAAAAAACCGAAAACCGAACCGAAAAACCGGACCAAAAATTAGGTTTTTTAGGGATTCTGTTCGGTTTCGGTTTACAATAATGGGTAAACCGAATATTTGGTTCGGTTTCGGTTTTCTTAAAAATATAAACCGGTTAACCGAAATCGGATTGTTAAACTGATTTAAAAAAAAAATAAAAAAATTCTTTCATTAAATCCTTCTCTCTTTCTCGGTATTATACCACTCTCTTTTTCTCGATTTCTACACTTTTTTCTCTTATTAAATGCCTCTCTCTCTTTCTCGATTTCTACATTTTCTCTTTTATTAAATGCCTCTCTCTCTCTCCCCCGATCTCTTCAATCTTCATCTTTCACTTTTACTAAATATGTCTCTCTCCTTTCCATTTTCAAACTTTCTCTTTTATTAACTTCCTCTCACTCTCCCTCTCCCTCTCCCTCTCTCTCACTCTCTCTGCAAATAGCCAAATACGCATCCACCATTTCTATCTTTTTCTTCTCTGCAACTTCAGTTCCAATGTTCTATACTCCAAATAAAACTTCATCATCAAAACCATAAGCCATCTGTATAAGCACCATCAACCACGGTTTCACCATCTCAACCTACCACTCAACCTCCAATCCGAAAAAATCCTATGGTCTTCCTTTTATTGGTCTTTGGTTTCACCATCTCAGCCTCCAATCCGAAAAATTCTAGGAAAAATATGGTCTCCCTTTTATTGGTCCGATCAAAGACCATTTGGAGTGGGTGAGTGGCAAGCTATAGTAAATTTGGCCAAATTGGAAGGTTTTATTGAATTGGGCCAACTGGTCCAGACCATTTTAAAAAACTGTTTTAAAACCGGTTAACCGGTGAATTTTCGGTTCGGTTACAAACCGGTTTAAATAAAAAACCAGTTCGGTTTCGGTTTGGTTTTTTATTTAACTGGAATCCGATTCGGTTCAAATATAGGATAAACCGGTTCGGTTAATCGGTTTTTTCCACCCCTAACTTCAATCACTTCAAATTCGCAACTAAAACAATAATTAATTGCAATACACCAACACCCAACAATATCCAATCAACAATTAAGTCCTACTTTACTTCCAAATCACAACCACAATCTCAAATATTGCATAAAAATTCAATTTATTTGAGCAATTTCTCCAGAAAATATCAATAATAAGCAAACTAATTGAAAGAGAATTCTCACTTACAACCAATCCAAGTACTTCACCCTTGATTGCTTTATTTTCCTCACAAAATGCAAAAATCTCAAAATTTTAAAAACTTAGGGTTTTCAAAATTTCTACTTAAATCGGTGTAAATCTTGCAAAACAAAGGCTCAAATGTGTTTAGAAGTGATAAAATGGTGTTTTTTTGGTGTATTATGGTCAAAAATCAATTAAGAATTGAAGTTGAGTTGAGAGGATTTGAATGGAGGAGAAAGGTTTTGCGAAAATGGAATGAGGCTACATATTCCTTTTTATAGTTTCCAGTTTCACGGTGGCAAGTAAAAAATTTTGCCGTGGCAAATTCGGATATTCGCCTAAGTGATGAACAATTTCCTAGTTTCACCGTGGCAAGAAAAAATATTTGCTATGGCAAATCTGGAAATTTATTTGGGTTATTTGGATAGAAGGATTTTCGTCGTGACAAGAATTTTTTTTTTTTTTTTTTTTTTTGTCGCAGAGTAATTGGAATTTGTCCAATTTCACTCTTTCAGGTCCTTTCCAGAAACCACAATTTAAAACATAGATTATTAACCTAACAATCACTTAAAAACATTTAAAAACGTAATTAAAAAGAAAAACACTTGGGTATCCTCCCAATAAGGGCTTTAGTTAGAGTCGGTAGCCCAACTTTCCCAATGTCCTCTGTCAATCCGAACAATTCAAGCAAATCACAACCCGACCATCTTCTTTCACTCAAGGCTTCACCAAAAAATGATTTTCTTCACTCATATCCTTTGAGGGATGCTTAGCTACCCATTGCCACTTCTTGGTCCTTACCTTGAGGAATTGGGCTTTTCCATAGACACTCTTTTGAAATTTACACCTATCATGTGCAAAGGTGTGATAAGAATTTGACCAAGTCAACTCATGATGAGACTTGTCCTCTTGCATCGATTGCGAATTACTTGTAAGTACACCTAATTTGCTTAAGTGTATTGCATCCCTTTCCAACTTAGGAATTTCATCCTTAATCTCCCTTGGATCCACAATGTCAACCTTAAAACAAGAATTCAACTCTAAAGGACTATTCATATCCTTAGACATACTAAATGTGACTTCCTCATCTTGCAGCCTCATAATAAGCTTTCCTTGTTGAAAATCAATCAACATCCTTCCAGTAGCAAGGAATGGTCTTTGTAAACTAAGAGGAATTTCCTTATCCTCTTCCATATCTAACACTACAAAATCTATAGAAAGAGCTCCCAAACCACACAAAACTTTATCAAATTGAATACTTCCTATAGTGTAGGGAATAGTAAAACTCCCTGGATCTTTGAGTTTTGGTGGCAATTTCTTTTGAAGTATCGCACTGCATTCCTTTATGAGCATTACCATTTCATCTTCCTCCAGTTTCTCTTGTTTGACAAAATTTCCTTCATGAATTTCGCATAGTGTGGGCTTTGTTGCAATGCAACTACAAAAGGAATATTAATATGAAGTTTCTTAAAAACATCAAGAAATTTAAGAAAACTCTTATCTTGATTTTGTTTCTTCATTTGTTGAGGAAAAGGAATCGGTGAAGTATGATTGGTAGGTTTCGGTGGAATCTTCAGATGCGATGACTTCTCTTCCTTCTTTCTCATTGGTGCCCTCTCTTCATGAACTTGTTCCATGACTTTCTCTTCAAATTGAACCGCTTCTTTTTGTTGAGACTCATTCAAGATTGTACCACTCCTCAAGGTTATCGCATTTACTTGTTCTTTTAGATTTGTGATTGTTGTACTAGGTAAGGAACCTTGAGATCTTTCTGTCAATTATTTTGATAATTGTCTAACTTGAGTCTCCAAATTCCTAATAGATGCTCATTGATTTCTAAAATTCATCCTCGTCTTATTCATGAAGTTGGTAGTTTCTTGCATAAACTTCCCGAACATCTCCTCCAAGTTAGATTTCTATTATGGTTGTTGAAACTGAGCTCCTAATCTAGGTGCTTCTTGAATTCCCCATGAAAGATTAGGGTGATTCCTCTATCCTGGAGTATGGGTTGTGTTGCAGCCTTTGTAAACTCCCCATGTAGTTCACTTGTTCATTTGTTGAAAATAAGAAAGGATTTCCCACTTGGCATTCCACACTTGCATGGTTTCCTGCACAAAATTCACATGTTAGTTTAGGAGATTGAATTGAATTCACATTCATACTTCCCAATTGCTTCTGAAGCACTAAAATTTGAGCGAAAAGGGCGGTAAAGGCATCAACTTCATCTAAACCTGTATTTTTCTTAGGCATTGCTTGATCATTGGGTCATTGATAATTGTAACTCGCCAATATTTCAAGCAACTCATAAGTGGCTTTTGGAGTTTTGTTGTTTAATGCTCCTCCCAATGCGGCATCTACCATGGTTTGAACATTAGGTAGTAGCCAATTGTAAAAGGCTTGTACTTGCATCCAGATAGGCAAACCATGATGTGGACACTTTCTCAATAACTCATTATATCTTTCTGATGCCTCAAACAAGGATTCACTATCGCTCTGAACAAATGATGTTATATCATTCCTCATCTTGGCCGACTTTGCTAGCAAAAAATACTTTGCAAGAAATTTTTGCGCTGACACATCCCATGTAGTGATAGTTCCCACTAGTACTAACATTAACCATCCATTAGCTTTGTCCCTTAATTAAAATGGAAATAGCCTTAACCAAAAAGCACTATTCGTCTCTCTGTTGTGCTTGAATGTATCACATATCTCCAAAGAGTTAGCTATGTGCATATTAGGGTCGTCACATGTATTACCCCCAAACTGAATTGATTGTTGGATCATCTGTATGATTGCTGGCTTGATCTCAAAATTGTTAGCCTGAACTGGTGGTCTTGTAATGCTTGGACCACTTCCATCAATTGTTGGGATCGAGAATTCCTTCAGAGTTCTTTGATCCACCATGATTACAACTGGTGTCTTTTGTCTTCTCTTTTGCTCTCTAATGAGTCGTCTTGTTGTCTTTTCAATCTTAGGATCAATAGGAACCAAGTTGTGACTCCTCATTTTTCGCATGCACTATAAACAAAGAAAAAATTCAAAATTTAAACTAAACAAAATATACTCTTAACTACAAAATGAAATCAAAAACTTTAAGTTAGCACTTCCTATATTCTACTTATATTAACACAAACAATCTCTGACAATGGCGCTAAAAACTTGATGCGTAATTTCATATGCATATTAGCAACTACACTAGTCACATTAAGTAATAAAGTGATGATGTAGAGTATCGTTTCCACGAGGATAGTGTATTAATTACCACTTTATCTAGAATGAGTCCTAATTGAAGCAATGGAGATTGGAAAGATGCAATATTGACAATTAACTACAAATTAACTAAATATAGACACTTAATAATGAATTTAAAGCAAGACCTAATATCAACACAAATTCACAAATGATTTAATACTCTATGGTGTTTGATTTCACCAAGACATTCTTACCCAATACATAGATTTTTCTACCCGAACTCTTAATTTCTTGATTGAAGACTGAATCATCTATATTGTTTGACACTCATTCTCAGGTTATGCTACCTCATTCATTCCTATTAACCTTCCACACCGAAAAATTGAAGTTTAATAGTTCAAAGTCTATTAAGTTATATGGGATTCTATATTGGTCACATAGATCGTGTTTGTCTATTTCTAGTTTTCACTCAACCTATGGTGTTTTTCACAAGATGCAAAGATCATGAATCACTTCTCAGTCTCATCATGAACATCATCATTTGCATGGTGACCAATCATCAAAAGATGCAATAAACATAGAAATAAACACTCAATGAAATTAGAACAAAAGAGTATATTAAATCATATGTATTGAGTAATTGTATCAAGGCTACATCAAAACCCTAGATAAACAATTAGTTCCTCATAGATATGAAAATAAAACTATACAAACAAAGTAATATAGAGTTCATCATGGAAAAACAAGAGTAAAGGATGCAAAAAATCTCTCTAAGATGATGAATCTTTGCTCCTCTTCATGTTCCCTTACCTCCCAAATGAGTGAACTCCCTAAAAATTTCATCTTTCATCATTTATATAGTGTTTCCTTTTGTGGTTAAAAACCTTACAGTCCAAACCAGGGTTTTTTTTTTTTTTTTTTTTCTTTTTTCTCCCTTAAAATCGCAATTTCATAGCAAACAAAAAACCAAAATTCCAAAACCCAAAAATCTAGTAGGATTTTCACCACGATGAATTTATTCTCACCCGCGAATCAAGCTTTTCTACAATTTGCTGAAATGTCCTTTTTGACTTAATCTTTGAATCTCACCTTTTAATCTTCTTTATGAAAAAGTCTTCAAGAACACTTCTCTTCAACCTCAAAACTTCTCAAATCATAAAATTTGGATTTTCTGAGTTGAAAATTAAAATACCCATTTTCCTTCAAAAACCCTTTGGGACTACAAAGTGGATTAATACAAGTACTATCATTATCTCAAAATACAATGGAAGTACTTTAACCTATTGAAATGGATACAAAAACACGATAAAAAATAGGATTATCATCCCTGTTTTGGCCACATTACATGGGTTGCATTTCCGTTATGGAGCAAAAGGGGTTGAGTATGGTCTCCAATGTTGGGTTGACCGTTGTCATGTGACAAGATGACCTTGAGTGCAATCGTTTTCCTATGCCCAGGTTTGTGTTAGTTAGATGTGGCAACCTTTCAAACGCCAATTTGACATCAAATATGTTATCTTTGGAACATTAAGGTTAAAGGAATATGAGTGGATCCCTAAGAGATACTCTAAGTGTTGTTTATTTGGCCATGCTCATGTATGTCACAGCTAGAAGTACCTTCAGCTCATACTGTTCAGGATAAGGGTAAGATAGTTGTTAGTTTTTAGAAGGCACCAAGGAATTGTAGTACTTGGACCAAAGGATCGTGGGCCTTTGAAATCGTCAATTCTACAAATGCCATTAGGGAGAGGGAGAGAGATGTGTTCAGTACTAGTTGGGTTTTAACTACATGAGGTTACTTCTATATTTGGTTCGAATAGAGTGGGGGATGATTCTTTAGCTTTGTTTTGTATCAATAGAGTGTCGTGCTAGTAGAGATGAATTTTTATTCTAATTCTAGTGGAAGGAATAAGAGCTCATTTGGGTACATAACTGTACAGAGAATACTCGTTTTTTTTTTTTTTTTTTTTTTTTTTGGGAGCAGGATCTACATTTTCAACAAGTTTTTCCTCTTATTTGGTGATGATGATCCTATGTCACCAGATGCCACGTTGCCTAAGCAGATTCCTGACACCTCGCTTGGTCCGTCAGGACAAGGGGAAGGGTACCTCATTGCTTGGTCCATCTAAGGACAAGGGGGATGGTACCTCAACACTGGCCCGATGAACCTTGTTCTTAAACAGAAAACGGGTGTAAAGAATCTACTCTAGGCAATGGCATCTGCAGACATAGGATCATCATCGGGCAAATAAGGAATAAACTTGTTAAAAAGGTAGATTGTACTCCCAAAACTCCAAAAAAAACCTAAGTATTCTTTGTGCAGTTACTAAACCCCAAACCAAACTCTTGTTTCACCTTCTAGTGGAAAAGGTGAATCAAGATCCGAACTAGAATCAGAACTATCTCTGCTGATACAAAATCAAAGTTAAAGAATTATCCTCCACTCTATTCGAACCGAAATGAATGGAAACAGCCTCATCCACAATTGAAACCCTAACTAGTACTAAAACATCTCTCTCCATCTCCCTAATGGCATCTATAGAAATTGGTGATTTCAAAGGCCCATGATCCTTTGGTCCCACATTACTACAATCCCTAAGTGCCTTCTAAAAAATGACAATTGCCTTACCCTTATCTTAAACAGTATGCGCTAAAGGTACTTCTGGCTAGTGACATACATGAGCATGGCCAAATAAACAACACTTAGAGTATCTCTTAGGGATCCAGTCTAACCTTAATGGGTTCCAAAGATAACCGACATTTGATGTCAAATTGGCGTTTGAGAGGCTTGGCAGCATCTAACTCAACACAAACTTGGGCATAGGACAAATGGGTGCACTCATAGGTCATCTTGTCACATAACAACAATCGACCCAACATACTGGAGACCATACTCAACACCTTTTGCATCCATAATGGAAAATGCAGCCCATGTAACTAGGCCCAAATAAGGACCATTGAAATGCGACTCTTGTCAAAAGAAAATTGAGCATGTCGTTACTAGGGAAAAAAAAAAGGGGGCTTACCTTTAAACATCCATGGCGCTCTCTTCAAAACCAAATGCACAACATCCTCATCTCAAAATTTGAATATAAAAAAACCAGTGTTAGTAGACATAACATCTTCCAAGCCATCCACTTTCCGTGCATGAAAGGCAATTGAGCGGGCAGCATGGAAGGGTATAGAATACCTGGCCAAAAACCCCACATCACAACTGCGCCAATCAGCATCATTGTCATCAATAATATCATTTGAGATCAAAAGTTGTTCATCCTTAATATTAAGAGCCATAGTATCAAGGGTGAAATAAGTATCGGCCTCCATGACTCTTGGTTTTGAAATACTTGCCATAGAGGATTGTTAGTGAGAACTACTATTGTGTGCGCATGGAAGTAACTGGAATTGTAATTTCTTGAACAATTATGCTTTAAGGTAATTGAAAGACGTTTAAGTTATATTGTTTTAATTTTTCTTACATTGTAGTATTAGAGTTTTCTTCAATACATGTTTAGTATACATAGAATTATGTTGCAATGTTAATACAGTCATAGCAACGGGATATACAGTCATAGCAACGGGATAAATTCATGACTTCATTTATTATGTTATATAGTTTAAATGTCATAGTTGATCCTTATTTTTATTGAATAATTATTTGAAATTATATGATCAAATCGTTATTTATTATATCATTTACTTTTATGTATGTATCAAATTTGTGTATAACACATACTTAAACCTATCATGACTCAATTATTTATTCATTTACTTTAGATATTGTTTATATCACTCATTTATCAAATATCCATACTGTTGTCTATACTGAGGACTATAGCAGGAGTGATATTATATTTAACTATGATAATGTTGGACTTCCTGTTATGTATGAGTTTTATTATCATCAGTTAAATGCATAATAATTTTGTTTTTTCTATTGATGCCATCAAAGATTTAAAGTATTAATCTAACTTGAGAATAGTCACAAAATCTTAAAAGATATTGATATATATAAAATGTGATATTTATAATGGCAATTTCAGATTAGTGTATCAAATTGATTATTTGGCCCTATAGGGAGATATTATTATAATGGCATTTGGAATGAGATGATAAATTGGGTATAAATAATCCAATAAATCTTTAAGGGAAGAATTGTACTTACGTATTCAAAGGAATTTGAGAAAAAAAAAAAGTACATAAGATTGTTGATTGGTAGAGAAATAGACAAAATCATGTTAATATCTACAAGCTCAAGTTCTGCTAAAAAATTTAGTGGAGAGGAATTGTTTTACAGCCGTGAATTGTCCTTGAATAAGGACAATGAAGTTATAAATATTGATAGCTTTCCAATAATTATAAAGCACATAACCATAAAGTATAGAAAGAGCTAAAGCTGAAGAGACACCAGTGATGAGAAATAGACCACGAAAGCTATCAAAGGTGAGAGAATTCACATTGTTTGAAGTGTCTCCAAATGTATGCATTGATTCATGACTTCTAAACCATGCATTTTCCATCATATTAAGCGTTCCCATTTCTCTTAATTTTGCAATTGCCCTTGACATATCATGGACCAATGGAGAACCTTTACGGAAAGCCTGAAAATGTCCATAATGGTTAGAAACTAATTATTAACGTACTATGTTAATGAACATGACCGCACACACCAATTATCATATCCCGCATCTCAAAATTCATTACTTTCTATAAAAAATTATCTTCAAATTTTAGAAAGGTTGCCTACACAAACACAAATGGATTCATAAAAATATTTGAAGGGAAATAGATACTCACAAAGCCAAAGCCATTAGTGCTAGACATGCCAACATCGTTGAAGCTAGATATAGGCATGGATCCAATCCTGGAGAAGTGTGCAGAATATCTTGCAAGGAAGATTTTGATGTATGGTATCTCATCGATGATAATAGAGATACCTCCCTTTTTGTTTCCTTTTGACAAAGCATCAGCATACTCTTCAGGTGAACTATATGGCTTAAGATGAGTGTTTCTGAAATTCATTTTGGTAATAGGGCCGCCACTAAAGGAACCTGCATTGTCTCCTAAGTAGTTCTCCCTTGAGTTAAAATGTATATGTTCAAGTGTAATCATCGAAGTTAAAGTTGCAGTGTAACTAGAAGTCAATATAAGCACCACCAACAACCAAACGATCACCACGAATCTCGACAAATTGCTTACCAATTTTTCTCCTGTAACAGTATCAACAAATTAAGGTTAAGTTTGTTGTGAAAGACTGTTTTCTTGATTATGAAAGACTCTTTTTGCAACTTTGTGGTGAAAAACACCAGCAATCCTGCAAAATCAGTTCTTACGCCAACCTCAAGTTTGTGGACAACCAGAGGTTTTCCTAAGACAAGCTAATCTCAGCAGACAGTAATAAAATCAATAAAGCAATAAAAGAGATTTCAAAAACTTAAATGGAATGAAGAAGATGATTAAAGTGCTTACTATGAGCAAAAAATAGGGTTGAGAAGGAGAACCAAAATATCATTCCAATTTGCTGAGATATAGGACCTTGAAACTCATTGTTAACAGGACGTTCAATCAGCCAAATGACAACCCCGGTTAAGATGAAAAAGCAAGCACTTGATAACCAAAGATCAGAATTTAATGGCTTCAAGAAAATCCACATGCTTTTACTGTCTTTTAGGGATATCATTCCTACTCCTACATCGGTATAAGGTAATGTAAAATCCACATATAAAGATCTGTTCGCTGTGATCATTATATCTCCAATAGCAGCATCATACTTCTACATTTGGCTCAAAACACAACACACAACAAATATAACCATAAATTCCATATTTGACATTATGATATAAACGAATAGTAAGATACAAAAAACGAAAAAAAAAAAAAATTATGGTAACTGAAAACATACCTGAAGATAGACTTCATATATAAGGTCAAAATAAGTCCCATTATTTTGTCCACTAGCATTCAGAAATGGTATAAACACATAATCTACTTCATACTCTAATGATTCAATGGCAGTCTTGAATACATCTATACAAAAACCTGTAATGATTGTTGCATTTGTTTCGATATCATGATCAATCTTTGCCAATTCAGGGAACCTTGAGTTTCGTAGAACACCAATTCTAAGTTTTTTACCACTTATTTTATTTGGAATGGTAGCGGATCCTCCAGGCCAAATAATGTCTTCAAGATTATTATTATTTATGGATGATAATTGTCGTCCATTACTGGATCGATGCAATTCCCTTGTAATTTTTCCATCACGAGTCCAAAACCCGACTCTTCTCTCCCCTCTTCCTATCACATTCACTACCTCAAATTCATTTGAGACGAGTTTCCTATTATTGAATCGAAGTTCACCACTTAAACCCTTGAATTTAGGTTGTAAAAGTTCTCGTAAAAGTACTAAACCATGTTCAGATGCACTAATCTTTGTCCTCGCCTTCTCGGCTGCTCTAGCTAGACTCCAAGCAACATCATATGCCCATATATAAGAAGCCCTTAATTCCATTAGTTCCATATTAGTTTCGAGAAGAAATTTCTTTCTCCATCTTGAAATAAGATCTTGAAGCTCTTTTGATGCTGGAATATATGGCCTCAAACTGATAACTCCTTGCATTGAGTCAATTACAGGTGATCCCATTAAAGGAAAATTAAGATTCATACTATTTGTAGTCATGATCCAAGCATACCCTTCACTCATCATTCCCAATTCCTTTGCATTCATGAAAATCTGAGATGTAAGAAGTGGTGACATATGAACAATAAACACCGTTTGTTGCAATGCCTTGAGCTTATGTAGCTCTTCAACAATTTTACCATCATCATCCGTGGTGGTAAGTATGCTCTTACGAGTAATATCGATGTTTTTCTCATGCAACGAATCAAACAAATGTGGGATGAAATATCTCCAATCATCACTGTCCTCTTGTATGATGATGATATTCTTCCACTTGAATGTTTCAACAATATCAGTGATTGCTGCAACTTGAGAAATTTCATCTTGTGTAATTTGAACAAAGTAAGGATACCTGTTTGAGGATGAGGTAGAGGTAGTAGATGATAATGAAATCAGAGGGACTTTAGTTTTAACTCCTAGCTCAGCCAAAAAGTTTGCTTCCATTGATGTTTGTGCACCAACGATGGCTCTTATTTGAGAATTTTCCAAAAGATCAAGTGCTACATTATGAAATATAATGGAGTTAAATTCTGAAATATATATATGGGAATGAGTCAAATGATCATGTATATGAGCAAAATTAATTTTGAGTAGAAATAATGAAACATGGAGAGAAAATTAAAAGAACTATCAAAGATATAAGTAAATTTCTCTACATCTATATAGGGTCATTGAACATTTTAGAAAATATTATGTGTGCTTACTATTTCGTTGTTGAAGCTACTAAACTACACCATTAGGATTATTAATCATTTTTTTATTAATTTGCAATAAAGTTATTGTATTGACGAAGAAATTGATGTTTAAATGATTTGCAATTAAGTTTGACCAAAAAAAAGAAAAGACACTTGTAGTTAAATTTAAATCAATGAACCTAAGAGGAACTTTAATTAGTTATTTAATTCAATCTTAGCATTAAATTTAATCATCTATATTTTTTATTCCATTTTTTTTTTTTTTAACTGAGTCAGGGGTGAATAAGACATTTAACTAGTCAGTCAAAGTCAAATGATAGACCTCATCTTGTCCAAAAAAATGTTCTTTTTTTTTTTTTTTTTTTTTTTTTAAATTGAAATCTTGGAATCCAAGATATGCGTACGTACCTTAGAGGGACTTAGATGATTTCTTTATGAGTTATTGACTTTTTTCCACCCAAAAAATAGCTTATTGACCCTTTCCCACCCCCACGCTTTTAAAATATCATTTTACCACCCAAAAATTATATTCCTTTAACAATTTCTATTAAACACATTGTGAGGACGAAAATACCCCCAATCATTGGCGACTGTAACATGCCTCAACCAAATTTCGACATCGAAAATCGGCGTATGATTTACACCACTTCCCCATTTTCCTTCTCTCCCCACTTGATTCCACCCGATTTTAAGCCAATCGTTGCTAGGGTTCGTGCGATTTCTCTTACTGGATTCTAGCTATTTCCGGCGACCAAAATCAAAATTGACACCACCCCTAGACTCACCATCAACCCCTTAACAAAACCCCCAACCTTTTGGCGTTTGATCACTCAATATTCATTGTCCGCTGCTTATTTGGCTATTTCACGATCTCACTATTTCACGGCTAGATTCCAACCGTTATTGGCACCAAAAATCACCATTGTCACCACCATTCCAACCCCCATCCTCACCCCCTCCCATCTCGTCGTTTGCAGCCTATGACATGTCATTGCTACCGCGAGAAAGTCGCATTTTTGTGACCCCAACCATTTGAAAATAGCCTGATTTTACAACGATTGTTGCTAGTGGGGATGACGCCCTCAACGATGGGTCAAATGGTGGGGTGGGGATGATTTCCAGTGGAGGAAGCGGCCGGAAAAAGGCATAGAAATTGTTGAAGATGGTCGGCGTTTTAGGAGTGATTGAAGAAGCCAAAAGACCATCATGTCCTCACTTATGACTAACTTTTGACCATCTTGCTCTTCCTCACAACGAAAATTACTAATAGTGACTAGTAAAATGATATTTTAAAATTGTAGGGGTAGGAAAGTGTCAGTGAGCTATTTTTTGGGTGGAAAAAGTCGTTAACTCTTTCTGTATTATTTACTTCTAGTTACTAATAAGAAATAAATAATTGTGCACTAAAATGGATGTTAGAAGTTAGAAAAATAGTTAACCTAGTTTAGATTTTAAGACTTTGATAAACATCGTATTAATAATTAGATTATCCTTGACACAAAATACAAGATTTATCATTGATCTTTGATTTACAAATTAATTTTCAACAATATCTGCAGAAGATTTATAATTTTCAAAAAAAAAAAAAAAAAAAAAGTTTTCACCTGAGGATAAAGCAAGTAGAGGTTGTCCTTTGGAATCCCTTGTGTGGAGAGTGATTCTTGTTTTGTAGTAACTGTGTAGAGTGTAAAAGTCAGAAATTGCCATGGAAATGCAACTTCGGAATATCTTCCCCTCCAATGATTCCATATCCAGGATTACTCCAACATCAATCCTAAGTGTATCATTTTCAGTTTTATTGAGTTGGGCAAACAACAATGAACAGAAAAAGCTCAAAAAGATTAGAGAAGAGAGCAGGGTTCGGTTCTTCCCCTTAATCTTCATCTGCAAACTTTTGTTTTTTTTCTTGGTCTGCATACAATCAAAGCAAGCACACGGCGTGTGTTTTAACCTCTGGTCTTACATATCATCTTCTTCATAGCGTTTGAAAACAATTAATAAAGTTTGACTACTTGAGGTAGGCTGGAAATAAGGCATTGAATATTGGTGAATAAGTTTGTGGAATTTGTTATTTTACATCTCACATCATTTGGGAAAGTTTGAAAACTAGTTAAGACTAAGTGATTTTTAACGCCCACCTAATTGATCTTCACCCTCCACTTCTAAATTTATTTTTTGTTTTAAGTAAATTAACCTTAATTTAAATTACTAGAAATAACATTATATATTCTAAATACACTCATACTTTATTTTATTTTTTTTATTTTAATTATTAACATTGAATCTTTCATAAACCCTAACCCTAAATTTTAATAACCTAATCCTACATTTTAATAATCATTGAAAACTTTTGTTTTATTTTAAATATTCGTTTGTTTGATGAAAATATGTAAAATATAACAAGGTAAATCTAAATTTGAAGAAGAGAAAATAAGTTGAAAATAGAAAATTGAGGGGAAAAGAGGTGTATAGAAAAAACCTAATTAAGTTTGATTGGAAAAAAATGGTGCAAAAAAAAAAAAAAAAAAATTCAAATTAAGTTTGAAATTGGAAAAAATAAACCTAACTAAGCTTAGAGGGTTATTTTAGATATTAAATGAGGTTTAAAGAGATTTTTTTATTTTTTTAATTATATAAGAGCTGTACTTGGCCATGGGGCTGAAGATCGGTTAGATGGAGGCTAAAAATCACTTCCCGTTAATTAAATATCTTGTGAGTTCTTAAGTGATCAACACGTGTTTTGATCCAGCGTTAAAACGAATAATATCTTGATAATGATTGGGTTGATGGTGAAGACTAGCCAATATCTCGGAAGTGTGTGGATCCAATATTTTCATAACTAAACAAAATTGATAATACATGTCTTCAATAATTGAAAGGAAAATGTTCCATTTTTCCACACGATAACAAGAACATATTTTTCTTTGCTGTCTTTGTTCTACTTTTTCTTGTGAGGCAGGTTTAAATATCAAATCAATATTCTCTTCTTAGCTAGCGTAGCCTGAAGCACACGGCAGCTCTTCTACTAGGTCCTCACTCCTCATCTAATTTATTTTATTACCTACGTTGCTTGGAGAGGAAAGCCAGTTAATCAACAGTCAAAGACTTATAAAGTCTAAATTAATTAAAATCTCAACATATATATTTGGAAAGGCCGGCTAATTTCTTGACTTCAATGGCATGGCTATTCATTCACTTAAAAAAAAAAAAAAAATTTGTTCTATTTCTTACCAACAACTTTCTATGGCCCTAAAATACCCTATGAAATTAGAGTTATTTTCAAGGGCTAAAAAAGGTCCAAGAAAAAGGTATAATTACACTTTATTAATTCCAAGGGCAAGACTGCTCCTGAAAATGTATGAAGCTTGATCCTATGGTTACATTTGATATTAATTTAAGATATGAGGATTTGTTTAATATTCTGATGGGACGAAATTAAACGATATGATCCAATCATCTATAAGTTAATTAGTCATTTAAACGTGAATACATCATTTTAATATCTAATTTTACCAAACTCTTATTGTTTTATTTTTCTCTCTTAAATAATTATTTCTTAGACATTGACAAATCTACATCGTTCACCTCCCCATATGTGAATTTTTTTGTTTATTTCTTTTTACCATGGGCAACTTGTGTTCTGTTTAGTGTTGAATATATAATTTTTTTTTATTTTTTTATTTTTTGGGAAAAAGGAGAGAAACTATACAAAAAAATTAGGGACATACCCTCAGAAGAGATACAAAAACTTGATGCTTGTTTCTTACAACATGCAAATGTACCAAGTATACTAGTCGCATAAAGTAATAAGATGATGAGTAGAGTATCGTTCCCACGAGGATAGTGTTACTAAGTACCGATTTTTCTAGTTAAAGTCCTAATTGAAGCAACAATAAATTGGATTGATGGATGATTAAACAAATTAATACAAATGCAAAACCCAACAACTCAACTAATTAAACAATGCTAAAACAAATGCTAGGGTGTTGAATTCACCTAAACGCTAACCAAATCATAGAATCTATTACCCAAGTTCTAATTCCTTGATTGAAATCGAATCCCTAAGTTGAAAACATACATTTTCATGTTACATTTCCCTACTTACCCTATTAGCTTCCGCACCCACAAATGAAGATTAATAGTTCAAAGTCTTTAACTCTTTATGGAATTCTATCGATTCATAGATCGCTAAACCTATCTCTAGCGTTTGCTAATCTACGTATTTATCCCAAGAGGACAATCCAAATCCTTCTCACAAAAAAAGCAAATCTCATTAGAACCAATTGAATGGTATCAAGCATCCAAAGTCTAAGCAAAGATAACATCATCATGAATTAAACTCAAACAAATCAATTCATATAAATTTAATCATTGTATCAAGATTACATCAAACCCTAGCTAAACAACCATTTTACTTAAAAACGAATAAAATTACAAAAACAAACTGAATCAAGATTTATCTTTAAAAAACAACAAAGATGGAGAAATCTTCTCTAATTTGAAACCCAAATCTTCATAACTTCTCCTTCCATAAGCTGCCTCCCAAATGACGAACCAAGCTCCTTTTCTTTCCTTTTCGCTCTAATTATACCTCTCTCACTTAAGGAGGAAACCCTACAAGTCAAAACGTGTCGTTTTTATTTTTTACTTCTGCTGCAGTTTTTCGCCACGGCAAAGCTTTTTTCTCCGCCGCGGCGAAGACTTTCGGCCCATTTGACATGAAGATTCTGAATCTGGAAAAGTGTTAAACATATGAATTGTAGCCCTTTAAATTATCTTTCTAGTCGTTCAAGAATCATCACAATCCAAATCTACAGCTCAAGTTAGGGTAGAAATCACAAAGCACGTCCAAAGACCTTTTTCTTCCAGTTCCCAGCGTACTTTTCCACGACTTCAAGCCACGTTTTCACCCTTGTCCGTCAGAATTAGGAAAAACCCAAAACATGAAGTTGTAGCTCTTCTTCTTAGCTTTCCAAAGCTCTAAATCAGGTTATTCGAGTTCCAACTCAAGTTACACAATTTACGCTCAAAACTGTCATTTATGCTAAAATCATCGTTTAGGCCTACAAAGACAAATTATAGAATTAGGTAGCAATTATGGCCCAAATTGTATGAAAAGTACCTAAATCCTATCAAAATCAGTGCAAAATCATAGTGTAAATATGATTATCAGTATAGAGAAGACTAGACAATGTGCCTATCTTTTTGGACAAAAGGATTGGAGCAATCACCTAAAAGGGAGCACGCAGGCTCCAAACAAATGAGAGAGATAGGCTCAGGCACCCTAACAGGGCTTGCATGCTCAAACCAAACAAAAAAGAGAAAAGGGCACAAGCACCCGACCAGAGCACACAGGCTCAAAACAAACAAGACTAATTAGTCAGGCAGGCTCTAGATGGCTCTAAGTCGAGAATGGATGGCATATTTGAAGGCTAGGTCAAAGGCTTGATCTCGAACTATGGATAGGATCTCATCAGCGATCACTCGCGAGGTCTTACTCTCATGGCATTTGATAATATGACAACGAATATTTTGAATTGTGAAATGTTATTCACTTTCAACAACATCAATATTCCTGCATAAGGGGAAGGCTTTCAAGAAAACATATGACTTTTTATATTTCCTTTTTTCTTGTAGTGACACTTTGATTCACATCTAATTAAAAATTTTATAGGTTTATAAATATTATAATCAAAATGTATCTTATTTAAAGTATTACTTTGGATCATACATAGGGGTGAAAAAAAAAAGTAAGGTAGATCCAAAACCACAAAGTACCCGGCATTGCAGTTTCGATTCCGGTTCCTGCCCCCTAATCTTTTTTTGCTTTATCTTTCTTCTTCAGCATGTCAGTAACTTTCTCTCTCTGAATCTAACGGTGACTCACATGTGCTCTCAATCTTCTTCAACACAATGAAGTCTCACAATCTCCTCTCACTTTTTCTCTCCCTCTTAATTCTCTCCCTCTCTTTCACTCCCCTCTTCACCTTCGATTCCCACTATGAAGGCTTTGACACCGAAGAGGACGTTGTAGAGGATGAGCCTCTTGACCTCAACTCGCTCCACTGAGTCATCGATCTCCCCTTGACTCGGTCCGAGTCCAACTTATCTCCACCCATCACTACCACCACAACCACAACCAATCTCGATTCCCCTAATCCCTAGTCGGATCCGAATCCAAACCCTAACCCAACTCCCACATCTTCGGATCCTCAATCAAAGCCCTCGGCTCCAATGATGTCATTTGATTACTAGGGCGAAGATGAGTTCAAAGGCTTATCCGTTCATCAACAACCCTAATTGGAAACCCCAGCAATTACTGAATCTGCTGCGAGCATGGATCAAACCCTAAATTCCTAAGATTGAGGAACTAAAACCTACCCGACAGGTTTCGATTCTAGTTCCTAGATTTAGGAATCGGTATTGTGCAAGTAGGTTCTAGTTCCTCAATCTTAGGAACTGGTACTGTACAGTTCCGATTTCGATTCCTAAGATTTAAGCTGATTACCCGAACCCACTCACCCCCAATCATACATGTATATTTAAATCTAACCTATTTTACTGTGTTTCTAATAAAAATGACCACTGTATTTTAACAAATATTATTTAGACATCATTTGCAGTATTCTATAAATGAAAACTCTGCTTAATATTTACATGATAATTATTTCTGTACTAGAGTTCTTGACAGAGACTAATCCCTAAACTTAACAAAAATCTAATATTATGATAATAATAGCAAATTACTAACCAAATTGTATGCAATGTATTAAACTAAATTCCCACAAATGATACTGATAAATAGTTAAGTATAAGTGTATTTTCAAGCACTTATCACACTTCTTCTCTTATTTAGTCAAAATAAGAAAATATACTTAGAATCGTCAAAAAAAACATAGATGAAGAGAATGAATTAAGTAATACTCTCAATCCTAATGTTACCCAACATATGAGAAATTGAAATATCACCCTTGACTCTCTCTCTCATCCAACCCCCTTTTCCACTACTTTCTCCTTTCTTCATTCTTTTTCTTTTCTCTCTTTTCCTCTCTCACTCTTTTCTCT